CCTCCGGAGCCGTTGCGGAGACCTTTTATTGTAGCCACGTGGAATTGTAGAGAGTTACCCTGCGTATCATTCCATGGCTGAGGTCTGTGGAGGAAGGATACGATAGACTGCATTTTTCTTAATGGCGGTCACAGTGTGGAAGGAAACCAGAGTACCCGGAGAAAACCCACACAAGCAAACAGAGAGAACATGCAAACTCCTTACAGATAGTAACCCTGGCTGGGATTAGAACCGGGGACCAGTGCTGTAAGGCAGAAGCGCTAACCACTACCCCACTGTGCTGCCCAATTAGGTGTAATAAGTGTATTAATGATAAGTATCCATCAGCTTTGCAGGTTATGTGGAACTACACATCCCAGTATGCCTTTTTGTCTACAAAGTCTTGTAGTTCCATGAAAGCTGAGAATCTGTGCTTTTTATCATGGCATCTCTGGCAATGTGGCATTTCTCTGTATTGTGTAACCTCAGGCAATGTGGTGTTGCTACTTTATATATATCCTGGTATCTCAGGTAAAGTGGCATTATTGTTGTATTTTGTAGAGACTTTCCTCATTGAGCAGCAACCCCCATGTGCAGCTGTTCGGACCTCATGCCATGTTCAACTGAGTAGCAGAACTGTTGCCAAACAGTGACAGCACTCTTTAAAATGTAAAAAATATTGGTAAATTGTAGTTCGCTTTTTGGATCAGCTTATTACAATGTATTGTATCTGTAGCTAACTCAAACCTGAAAAGTTAAAAAGAAAAAACTTTTTTTTTTATATTTTCAATCTATCACCCTATTGACCTCATTCTTATCCCTAACTAGTCCTAAATAACGCCTTCCTTTACTGGCTCGCTTCATCTTACTTTGATACAAAAATGTGTTCTTGTGTTTCCAATTATTTCACTAGTTAATTTCATTAGTTCATGTCTCTGTAAGAACTAAAAAAACAAAAACAAAAAACGTAATTTTATTTGTACCAGAAATATATAGTGGTATGGCAAGCACGCAAGCAAATGTAAAGAATCACTTTATAACAATGGTTGTTTTAAAATATTGCTGGTCAAACTGGAAAATGTGTTTTTCCCCCTCTGTTTTACTTCTTTTTGCCTTTATAATATATAGAAAATTAAATATTTCAAATAAAGCAGTTCCATTAAAAGAAAGCATTGTTTGTTCCCCTAAAAAAAGTTTCACTTCTGTATCGTAAATAATAATAAAGACATTGCTAAATTAATGGTATATTCACAGATTCAAATTTTTTTTTTCTTTTATTTAAATCATTCATTTAGTCAAATTGGTACATATTTAGACTTAGAAGTTTAAAGTCAATGTCTAATGTTTTTCCATATATTTCCTTTATTTATGCTTTTCCTAAGCTGATTTTTCCTACTATATACTGTTTTGTATTGCTATTGTTAAAACTTTGCTAATAAAGAATTTATTAATAAAATGTGTTTTTTTAAATATAAAAAATAGCATAAATTAGGGATGCACCAAAATTAAATTTTTAGACCGAAGCCGAAAGCGTAATTTTAAAATTTGTCAGGCCGAAACCAAAAAATACTTATATCCCAACTTTGTACAAATTTCTAAATTGTTATTATTTATTTTTTTACTTTACTGTTAGGGGCTTTGAGGAAACATCAGGGGTCTAAACAGACCCCTGATATTTCCCATTTCAAACAGAAAAAGAGATTGAAGACACATTGGAGGGGAATTTCTGAACGCATTTGCCACAAAATGTTGAGGCGCAAAGACCAAAATGTCATCACTAACTAACTGCAGAGTTTTAGCTCTGTTATTCTTCCTATTAAAAGGAGAACTATGGGGTCAGGGCTTTTCCCCATAGTTCTCCTTAGAGTAACGGGAGGACACAAACTAGCATCCTCCCGTCACCCTAGGCTCAGTATACCGCGAGCTACAGCTACAGACGCCGCAGCCAGAGCGGATCCCGACATCGATGTCGAGATCCGCCCAGCTGCGTGAGTGACAGCTGGCTTTGCCTATCTAGAGGCAGAGCCAGCTGTACCCACCCCCTCCCCAGTCAGCGCTGGCGGATCAGAGCGGGGAGAGGGGAATCCAGCCCCTCCCGTCACGGCAGAGAGCCGTGACAGGATCTACTGAGCTGACCTGTGACAGTCTCATTGTCACAGGTCGGCTAGAACTATGAGGTGAGTGAAAAGCTCTCACCTCATAGTTCTCCTTTAAGTGTTCTTGCGACATAATAATGTTTGCCGCTCACTGCACATGTTTCGTGACATTCCATATAATATTTAAACTGCACAGTATTTGTGTACAGAAATTGTGACAGTAAAAGACCTCCAAACAGACGCACATCCTAGAAGTTCTCCTGAGCACTTCTTAAACTATTGCAAATATGATTCACATCCTCAAGTAGTGAGGAGCCGAACACCACCGAGGTCGCTTCTAATTCAAACTTTCGAACATGGAAAAAGTTCTAATTCGAACTTAGAACTCATTGGGACCAGAAAATCAAATGTCCCCATTTTGAAGGCTTATATGCAAGTTATTGGCCATAAAAAGGGTATGGGGATTCGGGTACTGCCCTGGGGGACATGTATCAATGAAAAAAAAAATACTTTAAAAAAATGCCATTTTTAACCAGTTGACATCCGCGGTGTTAAACCCCCTTCCCATCCAGGCCATTTTTCACTATTGAGCGCTGCGGTACTTTGACTGACATTTATTCCGTCATGCAGCGCTGTACTGAAATGAATTTTATACCCTTTTTTAGGGACACATAGAGCTTTCTTTTGGTGGTATTTATTCACCACTGGGGGTTTTCTTTTTTTACTGCAACGGTCGGGTCTTTTCTGCCCGTGCGTGCCTGCTAGGGGGCGCGCACGAGCAGAAAAAAATTGCCGTCTGGAGACGGCAACCCGCAAATGCAGCAGTGCCGTCCGTCCGTTTTTTTACTACGGGCGGACGGCAAGAGGTTAAAGGAGCAGTGCTTTTAACATTGCTTAAAGTGAAACAATAAAAATGAAAAAATTCCTTTAAATATCGTGCCTGGGGGAAGCCCCTTTCACTGCCTGTAAAGTGGTGGATCTGTTCGATTTATAGAACCTCCTACAGCTAAAATTACATTTATAAAGAATAAAAATGACATTTAAATTAAATTAATTGGTTTTCCTTTAATCTTGTAAATAACTGCTTGGGGTGGCAGCCTGTATGAAGAGGCCACATTTTAGGACACTCGGAACAAGGTTAGAGATTTTTTGGATAAATTCTGGTGTCCCTTTTGCAGACGTTGGATAAAAGTTACAAAAAGTGCTTTAAAATTGGGCCTTGGCGGTGCTTTCACACCGTAACCCTTCAGTTATTCTTGACGAGTGCAGGATTGGGCCCTCCTCTAACAATTCAAATTATATACAGTATACCTGTCACACACCTGTCTCCTTTTTGGCCTTTCAGACATGATGTGGGGCTTATTATAAAATGTTATTAGACAATGTGGGATGGGAAATTGGTGCTTGGGTGCAATACGTTATCGAATGTGGTGCTTGGTGCACTATAAACTGTTGTACAATGGCTTATGATAAAAAAAAGCAAAAAAAAACGGGAACACCTGCGACACAGAAGGGGGAATAGCAATGAGGCAGCAAAAGAACCTGCTGCTCTAAAAATAATGAAAGGAAATGAAAAAAGAAAAAAAAAATGGGAACACCGGTGACACAGGAGAAACCCCAGTGACGCCACTGACACACACAAAAAATTCTGACAGAAACATTCTATTTTTAACTCCAGCAACACACTACATAAGGCTGCCCTGTAAGAAGCCTTATATAGTGTGGGGCTGGGACTTAGCTGTGAGCCACGATTGGGCAAAGTCATCATTACTTTGCCCAATCAAGGCTTATACAGTGCCCTGTGCCCTGATTGGGCAAAGTCTTGCACCTGACCTGTGGTCAGGTGCATTGGTTTACCCAATCAGGGCTCTCCAATGCAAACAGAGCATTGCGGGGTGTTCAGCGGGGGAACAGCTCGCTGAACACCCTGACAGTTCATGTGCTCGCCAAACACACAAACTGCCGATGTTCGAGTCAAACTCACGTTCGACTCGAACATCGAGCCCGTGCCTACGCTCAAGTCAGCCGAGCATCTCAGGCTATTCAGCTTTCATACAAGCTTGCCACAGTTTAGAGACAATTTAGAGACAATTCTCCTTATGAAGGCATTTAGGAATTAAACAAAAACGAATAAATCTGTTGCTATATGCACTAGAGATCAGGGATATGACAGTTTGAGAGGTGCTGGTGATGCGACAACATTGATAAATTCACCCCAGAATCCTCAATCTCTTTTTCTGCATCCCCAGCACTCAGTTAACAGGAAGCATTCAGTAGAGGCTTCCTGTTCATTCACAATCTGGAGATAATAAATATTTACTATCACCCCAGTCATGAATGGAAAGGAAGCCTGAGCTGCTTCCTGTTCATTCATAAAGTGAGCAGATAGTAAATATTCACTAATAAACAGGAAGTGATGTACAGCTGATCAGTACTGATCGCTCAGTGTGTTTCTCTGACTGCTCCGGAGCTGAGCTCTCCTCCAATATGGATTTTCAGCCTGCCGGGGCACTGACAAGGTGCAGGGCTTGTGCTGCGTTTTTTGTATTAGAAGCAAGCAAAATGGGGATAATTTTAGCTGTCAACACTCCAGGATAATTTGAGTAGATGCTTTTCTACGTTGCAATAGAGCTGTGGCATGCCAGCCAATGTTTGTAGGCCATACAGTATACATAGTGAGCAAACATTTTTGCTGAGTATACCTAATAATGTCTATATTTGAAATATTTCGATGTGTCTTTTTTAAAGCTATCCTTGTTATCTCATCACCTCTGCAGTATCTACCAGGGAAAATATCAAACAGTCCTGACACTTCTTTTTGCTATTGAGGAGATTAATAAAAATGGAGACCTTCTGCCAAATATTTCCTTGGGCTTCCACCTATACGAGTCATATTGGAATGAGGCTACAACACTGGATGCTTACATGAGAATACTGACTGGTGGAGGCCTCCACATTCCAAACTACAGATGCAAAAACCCGGGACATCTGATGACTGTAGTGGGCTTTGCCTCCTCAACACTCTCTGTTCTTGTGGCTGAAACATTTGGAATGTTTGGTTACCCACAGGTGGGGCCTTTATACAGATACAAGTTTGATCCTTAATATGCTGAACAGAAATCCACAACTTTTGTTAGCTCATGAGACATAGAATTGCCAGGAATGTAGGACTATATCCTCCTTGTATTTTGACATAGGGGAAACTCCAGGTTCTTTTACAGTATATTATGAATTACAATGCAGTCACAGATGCACTCATGTACATCCTTGTAAATGTTTGGCACAGATCAGCCCCCTGCTGCAGCCTCTCACCCTCTCACCACGTGGCTTGTTTCATAGTTGCAATGTTGCAGTCTGATCACTGGGGAAGAGGAGACTTCGAAAATGTTTCCTTTTCTTCTTTTCTGCAGCAGATAATGAAGATGGAATTCTCTAAGCCTAGGCAAAGATACTTGATTGGAGCTTAGGAAAGGCTTTTTAAACTGACATGATCATGGGCCACTTAAAATCTGGTAACATTTTATGATTGTAGCTGGTATATACTGTATGTACCCTTCACCGATGATGTTAGGCAAGACTATCCACTTTGGATTGAAGGACATTTTGTTTAGTCAACTTAAAAGAGAACTATGGGGTCAGTGTTTTTCCCCACAGTTCTCTTAAGGGCCACGGGAGGACATATACTAGCGTCCTCCCGTGACCCAAAGCTTAGTATATCGCAAGCTATAGATCGCAGCATACTGAGACCTCCGCAGCCGAGACGGATTCTGACATTACTGTCGATATCCACCCAGCTGCGTGAGTGACAGCGGGCTCTGCCTATCTAGAGGCAGAACCAGCTGTACCCAACGCACTCCCCCGGATGTTCCTCCAGTCAGCCCTGGAGGATCGGAGCAGGGAGTGGGGGAAACCTTGCAGGGAGCCGTGACTGACAGTTACCACTCTCTGCAGGGAGATGATCGAGAAGTGAGTGAGCGACGGTATGTGTTCGTTCACTTCCCGATCTATTGAGCCAACGTGTGACAGTTTAATTGTCACACGTCGGCTCGAACTATGAGGCTGAGTGATTTTCACTCACCTCATAGTTCTCCTTTAAGCCTAAGAACACTCCTCACCCTCCCCTTAATAGGTAGAGCCTGTACATACCTCAGATCAGTGGGCAGCCCATTGAGTTGCTCCTCTCTTCCAAGCTGGCTGGAGGGCCATGTAGTACTGTGCATGAGCAGTCTATTCTCTATAGGCCCTAACGGAAATGCCGCCTCTTTGCAAATAGACAACCATGGGTGCCATGTGACCCCCACCAGCTCGGGAGCACCACTCAACTTGGTTTAGGCCACACCTCCTGCACCAGGTTGCCAGCTGATATGATATGCACAAGAAAGTGATATAGGTAGCAATGGGAGACAGTTACGTTTATGCTAGGTAAAAGCATAGGTATTCTTTAAGATGACCATACACATGTAACAGAATATCTATGATGAGGCCAGTGGATGGAAGCACAGCAGGCAATAGGGGGATGCAATATCCATGCAACACCCAAAAGTGTTGGATACTGAAGACCATAGCGGCACCTTTAACTGTGGAAGAGAATGAGACTTGCATTTAATTGGGGCAGTAAAGGTAAGTATAATACATTTTAAGGAGTCATAATATATGTATCCAAACATCAATGAACCTTTAGAGCGTATCCAAACCCAAAGACAAGTGCACCGCATTTTAGCAAAATCATTCTGTATGTTAGTGTATGTACTTGCTGAAAATAATCTTAGCATGGAAAATGAAAATGAATGCAGCCAGTATATCTATTTTAGTTTTTTGCCTTGAATACAATATAAAGGAAATGATGCTAGTACTATCACGGCATGTGTTCATTCTATTTATATTGCAGATCAGTTACGGTGCCATAGACCCTCTCCTGAGTGACACTCAGAGGTTTCCATACTTCTACCGCACAGTCCCTAGTGCCATTCATCTGCAAAATGTCTTACATTTGGTGCTGAAATACTTTGGCTGGACATGGATTGGAATCATTTATTCAGATCTTGAATCCAATGAAAATGCAATTCAAAAAGTAAAAGCCTTCATTATTAGTGGAGGAGGTTGTATTGCCTTCATTAAAAAGCTTCGGAGCTCCACTAAATATCTGAACACTGAATGTGTAAGACTAGCCAATATAATCTCAACCTCCTCAGCAAATATTATTGTGTTCTGGGCGGATTTGGAGTTCACATACAAGTTATATATGTTATTGAAGAAATTACCAATCCCTAAGAAAGTGTGGATCTTCTTGACAGATATGAACCACCTTCTGACTCCCACAATTGACATTCTTGACCTAAGTCCCTTTCATGGGAGTCTGGCAATTCAGTTAAGGAAACAGGAAGTCCCTGGGCTGATGGATTTTCTGTGGAACACAACTCTGGAACAATATGAAAGTAACGAATTTATAGTCCTATTTAAGTCCATAATGTATCAATGTGACCAACACGAAAAGAGCATGCTCTATAACACATGTAGACATGACATAGTGAAGAAGAAAAAGTTGATGGGTGTTGAAACACTGGTGGAAAGTTATTGCTTATATAATGCAATCTACGCTTTTGCTTATGCCCTCCAAGAGTTTATGGTATCAAGGCATTGGTTAGAGAAGGACAGGCTGGGGACATCACCAACTCTTACTAGCTTAAAGCCATGGAAGGTGATTTCATCTAATATATAAAGATGTAATAAATAGTGTAAACCTTCAGGTTGGCCATACACCACTCTTGAGTTGCAAGCAATGCAGCTAATTTGAACATCACTTGCAATGCTTTGGCTGTGTAGTTGTTCAGTAGATGTTGATAAATAGCTCTTCTGAGTATCACAAATGCTTTATACATGACGTGGGGAAGAGGGAGAAGTTGATGGGTGTCAAAACACTCATGGAAAGTTATTGCATATATAATGCAATCTACACCTTGGCTTATACCCTCCAAGAGTTTATAGCAACAACATATTGGTAAGAGAAGCACAGGCTGGGGACATCATCAGCTTTTACAAACTTAAAGCCATTGATGGTGATTTCAGCTAATATTTAATACCGAAAGTCCCATTAAGGAGCCGGGCAGCGTGTAATGACTCGCTGCCCGTCTTCCTGATTAGCCGGGATGCGGCCTCCATGCTCCCTCGTCAACAACTTATGAGGAAGCATGGAGCCATCTTTCTGGCCAACCAGGAAGGCGCGGGTGGGTAAGGACCGCCGCCTGGCTTCCTGATTGGCCACCTTCCCAACCAATCAGGAAAGTGGGCGGCATGTATTGGCCGCTCAGCTTCCTGATTGGCCGGGAAGCCAGCTCCTTGCTCCCAGGTGACGAGGGAGCATGGAGCCAGTGCTCTATCATTCCATCGGACCCGTGACTTTATTGGACTGCCACAGGGGGTGTGTGGAGCACGCAAGCGCACTGCGTCACCAGGTCCATAAATCTCACAGACCAATTCAGCGGCTCCTAGTCCAGAACTCTTACGGACTACCACGCATGCGGCAGTCCAGACATCTGATGGCTACTGTGCAAGCGTGGGTCCAACAAAGCTCCCAATGCCACGTTTTCACGTATTATGTTTATAAAGAAAACTAAATAAATAGTATATATTGTTTATTTGTTTTATTCTTCTTTATGAACATTATACATGAAAACATAGGGAACTTTGTTGGACCCATGCATGCGCAGTAGCCATCAGATGTCTGAACTGCCGCATGCGGGATAGTTCGTAAGAGTTCTGGACTAGGAGCCACTGATAAGCTGTATTGGTTTGTAAGATTTACAGACCCGGTGCCGCAGTGCACTTGCGCACATGGCCAAACCCTTCACACGCCACCTGGTAGTTCGATTAAGTCACGGGTCTGATGGAATGATAGAACACCGGCTTCCCGAACAATCAGGAAGCCGGGTGGCGTGTAATGATTCGTCACCCAGCTTCCTGATACCCATGGTTCAGGTAACGGGATAGGCATTGGGGGTGTGTGGGGTGGGGTGCTGTTAGCCGCCATGATGTCTATCAGCAAGACTAGCGATATAATTGTGGCAGGTTCTGGAAGTGTGCCTAGCCTGGTTTTCTTGACATAAGATCTCCCTGGCTATGGTCACCCCCTGGAGACCATTTCTGTCACCACGACCATTATGTCACCCATAACCATCACTCATTCTATTCCTCTGCAGCTTAATTTCTTCATAAAGAGAGTTTATTTCACTAACACAGCGGGAGAACACATTTACTTTGATAAATATGGAGATGCTATTGGCGAATATGATCTGGTTAATCGGATTAGCATCCAAAAGAAGAAGCTTAGAAGTGTCCATGTTGGAAAGCTTACTTCCACAGATTTCTTTGTAAATGAGTCGGCGGTAGTGTGGCCTGTCTACTTTAACCAGGTAAACCTGACAGTATATTGCACACCTATGGGTGTGAATGGCGCGCAGTCATTAGTACTGGGATGAGATTTCTCTTTGTGTTGACAAATGTTGATCTGATAGTGTCGTGCAGGGATAGGCAACCTTGACACTCCAGCTGTTGTGGAAATACAAGTCCCATCAGGCACTGCAAGACTCTATCAGCCACAGGCATGACTCCCACAGGCAGATGCATTATGGGATTTGAAGTTTCCCAACAGCTGGGGTGCCAAGGTTGCCTACCCCTGGTGTAGTGTGTGCAGAGCAGAGAAGATGTATGAAAGTGTAATTACTCCGAATCACCAAAGGACACTTCAGACACCTTTTGTTGATTCAATAAAGATCAGTGAGTCGATAGGTTACCTGTGATAAGGTCATTGAATTGGACCACTTCATTTCTTAATTCATCAATCGTCTGATTGAGTGACATATTTTGTTCTCAAATTTTTAATATAACTGAAAGGAAATAATATCACACCTTAACGTGAGAATTCATTTTAAAGGAAATCTGTACTGGGAGAAATATGAAGGCTGCCATCTTCTTCTGAACATGCTAGTTACTTGGCTGTTATGTTGATCCACTAGTTTCAAAACTATCTGAGAAATTGACCCAGAATATACAGTATTGAGTTTTGCCCTTGGAAAACTTTCAGAAGAAACTCAACAATGGCAGCCTGCATTTCTCTTAGAAAAGGTTCCTTTTAAGCAAATGCTATTTAAGTCACCAACTTTGAAAATTCCAGGTACACGCACTGAAAAATCAAGTATTTTAAACGGGCATTTGCAGCATTTTTTCTTCCCAGAAACAATTTTTGTATTCACTAACAATGTGCCTCTGAACTTGCTAGCAAGTTTGACTCCTTCTTGAAGAGCCAATTCTCTAGGACAGTCCCCTCCTTGCATGTCATAGTCCTCCTCTCTTCTTGAAGTGTCTAATTAATGTCTGTGTTGGCCCAGCTCTTCTGTCCCTCCCTACATAACCTTATATAGCAGCTGGGGGAGGAGTAGGGGGAATACTATAGTGTGTCACATAAGTGACAGTGTAGTGCACAGGGACCACCATGTAAAATGTGCATTCACACTAGCTAGTATTAGCATGTGGGCTGGTGTTCTGTGTGAAGTCACACTACTTGGAGTGTACAAATAGGCACATGAAAGTGCCTGGTGCAGCAAGGTGCATTAGGGTTCCATTCATAATGAATGGCCCCGTGGCAGGTCCAACAAAGTGATAAATGTTTTAGCGTGCTTCAGCAAAGTGCGTAATAATGCACATCCATTGTCGCAGTACACAGATGTGAACAAGGGCTAAACTAACTACTAAAAACAGGTTCCAGCATACAGTACCATGCTGTTTCTGGTAATGACATGTTTCTGGTTCTGGTTTTTGCTGTAGGTGTTGCCATATTCTGTCTGCAGTCCGAGCTGTCCGACAGGGTCCAGGAAAATGGTACAACAGGGAAAGCCAGCCTGCTGTTATGACTGTGTTCCCTGTCCTACAGGAGAGATTACTAATCAAACTGGTAAATACTTACTCCATATCCTTCATTTTAAAGGCTACAAATCACAACTAGCTGGTGCTCACTTTAAAGTGTATGTCCACTTTTGCAGCCAAATTGGGATAACATCTTTATATGTGTTACATGTGATTGACATTGCATAACTGTAAAATATTTCCAAAAATTCTGCCTCCATTTTTAAGTGCTTTATATTTGCCTAAAACTCCTATCTAGCCTTTCCCCTTTGTAATGATAATGAGGGGGCTGTGGGTAGTTATGTTTACTCTATTCAAACCTGCCTGTACAACTATCAGTTGTAAACTAGATTTGAACACTGTCTGTCCTAACAAAGGGTTAAATACTTAGAAGTATTGCATGTGAATGAGAAGAAGATCAGCCTGTCTCTCAGTTTGTCCCTCTACTTTCACTTTCAAACTACTCAAAGTAGCCTAGAATCTGCACAAAGGCCCTCACCAAAGAAATATCTAAAAAATATTTTATATCTATATATCTATATATAGATATATCTATATATAGATATATATATATACATACACACACACACACACATATATAATATATTGTTTTAAATAAATATTATTATTCATTATAAATATAATATTTATAATTATTTAAGCAAATATATTTTTAGAAATGTTGTGTGAATAGGAACACATATAGAGGGGATTTTTCAGATTTGAATGCAAAAGTAGAAATACACTTTAAGCCCCTTTAATCTATCAGCAGATACCCAAAGGTACTTTCATGAGCAGTCATATCTTCTGAAGCATCCTGAGACCACTGGCTCTCTGTTCAGAAAATCTTGATTGGTTTTTCTGTCTTCAAAATTTAGGTGCCCCGCGCCTCACTATTGGTCCATACCTAAGATGGGTGGCCTCACTAACTACTGGTGAAGCGTGGGAGACAGAGGTGGTGTGAGTTTGGGTACCCAGTGCCTCTGGGACAGTTCATACAGGCACCTGCAGGTGCCGTCTGACAGTTTAGAAGGTTTAAAGGGGAAGTTCACATTAACTACATTGAATGCAAACAGAAAGACCAACCACACAAATTAATACTGCAATGTGTTTTTTCAAGATTAAAATGTATAAATGCAACAAGTATAAGTAGCTGAAATTGTCCTGATATCAGCATCCTGTAACGACCTGAACAAGGAGGATGCAGAATTGGAGATGGAAGACCAGCACTTGTAGCCAATGAAAATCTGCACAAATGTACATGTATTAACTGTCAACATGTTGACTGGAAGAGAGAACAATGCTAATGTATGAAACTAATGTGGCTTATCCCATTGGTGGAGCCATTAGTTCAAACTAGTTATCAATTATTTGCTACTCCTAGGGAGTAATCAAGAGCAATAATTGATCAGTAGTACAACTGGGTGAGTATTGTGGTGCTTTAGGACACGTGTTATGTTGCATGTTAAGGTGCATTCACTTGCATGGGATGCCTAAGACACCAAAAACATGTATGTAAGCATGTAGCATTTTTGGCATACAGAATAAGTGGCATCACATAGTACAACACACTTAATCCGAGTTACCGTGAGTTGCAGTAATGCATGCTTTAGTGCAATAGTTTGAATGGGCCCTAAAAGGTTAGTTCATATTGCAAATCTGCTTCTGCTTTGCCCGTAGGTGACAGGTTCACTTTAATGCTTATTGTCTTTGCTTCCTTTTACAGATATGATCCAGTGTTTGAAATGTCATGATGAACAATGGCCAAATAAAAACAAAGATAAATGTGTACAAAGGCCAATAGCCTATCTGTCCTATCAAGAACTGCTTGGAGGATGCTTAGCTTCAAGTGCTGTTATCCTTTCCGTGACCTCTGTCTATTTCCTGGCCATTTTCATCCTCTACAAAAACACTTCAGTCATAAAAACTACCAACAGAAAACTCAGTATGGTCCTCCTCTTGTCCCTCATCCTCACATTCTGCAGCTGCTTGGTCTTCATCGGTGTCCAGGGGAATATAAAATGCCTGATTCGGCAACCGATATTTGGCATGTCCTTTACTGTCTCAGTGTCCTCCTTGTTAGCCAAAACCATTCTTGTGGTGTTGGCCTTTCATGCCACCAGACCTGGTAGCCGGCTGAAAAGATTCATAGGACAAAAGTTTCCATGTGTGCTAGTTGGGCTTTCATCCTTCCTTCAAGCTCTTATCTGTGCTTTGTGGTTAGGAACTGGTCCACCAATACCAACGCAGGACTTCTACTCATACCCTGGTTATATAATCATAGACTGTGAAGAACGATTTGGCTTTTACGCAATGTTGGCATTCGTCGGCTGTCTGGCCATGGGATGTTTAGTGATTGCTGTTCTAGCCAGGAACTTGCCGAGTGCTTATAATGAAGCAAAGTACATTACATTCAGCATGTTGGTCTTCTTCAGTGTCTGGGTCACCTTCATACCAACTTACATCAGCACAAAAGGAAAGTACACTACAGCTGTAGAGTTATTTGCCATTCTGGTCTCTGGAGCTGGGCTTCTGCTCTGCATATTCTTTCCCAAATGTTATATCATATTCTGTAAACCGAGTAAAGCCAGGGTTATTTATATCATATCTAAAAACCAAAGAGTGTCTAGAATACCTATTAGTAAGAGGTCACAGTAGAACTATTTTATAGGGGCAGTCTACCCAATGCTAATATTTAATTGTGGACATTGGGTATGATACATCAGAAAGCTTTATAAAAGTATATA